ACAGAATCCAGAAAAAAAATTCAATTTGGTAATTCTGTTTCAAATAAATGCGAGTTAAACTCCAGCTCATCAACAATTCTCAAGCAAAAGTAAGGTGAAGACTTTCAGAACTATTTCTGCAAGTCTATGGAATGTAGGTCTCTGCTTTGGAGGAAAAAGGGAAGTGGTTCCCATTTAGATGGTTTTCAAAGTCACTGGAAAATTGAAAACCTATCTTATTCGTGTTACTTATTTCAGGCTTGGGAGGGAAATGACAAGAGTTCAACCTTTTCTCATATAAAATATTATCCCGTAACTTATAAACCTGACTATTACTACTTATGGAAAATGAGATATTTTCCTGACATGGTTTATAATTTAAGTATATGTGAGAGTCAAAATGATTTGAGATCCCGAGATAAATCATTACAGCTCTGGCTTTGGTGTTAAAAGTAATTTATTGCATTAGGTAGTGGCTTATGAGTCCAGCTTTGAACAACAGAAATGCCAGGGTGCATTCACGGTGGGAGCAAGAGCTGGAGGATGGAAATGCTTCTCTTCATAAACAGTCAGTGAGGAAGTCCCAGAGGCTGCCCAGGGGAGGAAGTGAGGGGCCCACACCTAGGCTGGACACTGTCATCGTGATGCTTCCCATTCACCTGCTTATCCCAAGTAAGACACCAATGCCAGCACCTTGTGGGGAGTGGTGTCTGCAGGGCCCACATCCTCCTCCCATCTGTGTCCTCAATTTCCCATTCAACAGGGGGACCCCAGGGCCAAGGACCGTTATTATTATTTTTTTTAATTTATTGAAGTTTAGTTGATTTACAATGTTGTGTTCATTTTTTCCCATAGACCAAAGTAACTCAGTTATACATATGTGTAGTTTTCATATTCTTTCCCATGGTGGTTTATCACAGGGTTTTGAATCCAGTTCCCTGTGTTCTACAGTAGGACCTATTGTTTATCCATTCTATACATACTATTTTGCTTCCGCTAATCCCAGGCTCCCAGTCCACCCCTCCCCTAGGCCTTCCTCCCCTTGGCAAACACAGGTCTGTTCTCTGTGTCTATGAGTCTGTTTTTGTTTCAGTTGATTTGTGTCATGTTTTAGATTCCACATATCAGTAATATCATATGGTATTTGCATCTCTTTCTGACTTACTTCACTTAGCATAATAACCTCTAGGTCTATCCATGTTGCTGCAAATGGCATTATTTCATTCTTTTTTTGTGCTGAGTAGTATCCCATCATATATATACATATGTGTGTGTGTGTGTGTATACACACACACACACATACACACATATCTCCACATCTCTGTATTCATTCATCTTATTTATCCATTGAAAACAACCTAAATGTCTTACAAAGCCAAGAACCTTAACTGTGGAAGTATAGGAAGTGTTGTAAAAGAGAGATTCCTTACCAGTAGGAGTTTACAACCGAGGGAGAAAGAATGCAGATGAAATAAATCAGTAACACAAGGTGGCATGTGGCAAACATGTGAATGATAAAGATCTGAATGGCTACAGGAATGAAGGAAAAGAACTAGGAGAGGGAGAAGGAGACGGCAGAAGATATCCAGTAGATGGGGGGTCAGATGTCTGATAGAAAACCTTTTACCTGCAATATAATAATACCATTAATCAGGGGGTGGGAGTTAGCTGCTTATACTACAGATTCTAAACCTTTTCTTCCCCCTCCTTGTATCTCTTCTGCCGTCATTCAACACCTGGCCAAAGTGGCTGTAAACATTTGCTAAGTAACTGTAGGCTGAACACCTGAACAAGATAGCTGACAGCAGACGAGGGGTCAGACTGGCTGGGGCCTGGAGAGACAACGTGGGCGTGGGGGCAGGGGGCTTTCTAAGCAGAAAGGGACCCCAGAGAAGATCGGGGTGTAAGAGAGCTACAGAATGTTGCTGGGGGTTGGGGAGAGAGCTGTGGGAGGGGAGGGAGGCAAGGAGAGGAAGTTAGAAACTCAGGCCAGATGGTGGAGGATCATGACCCCCTTTGTCACCTGGTTCAGTGACCTTCCTCCATCAGGACTGGCTGTGACCTGTCAGCCCCTCCCCGGAGCTCCCCTAAGCCCCAGAGTTGGCCTGGAGCCCCTCAGCACCTGGGCTCCCCTCCCCCTGCACCCATCTGGGCTGGCTCATCCTCCTCCAGGTGAGACGTGTACCTCTGTGGGCAGAGATTTGGATGCTATTCACCTTTGAAGTCTCAGCACCAACAAACAGCTGTTGAGAGACCCAGTGAAAACCAGCAGTGGATCCCCTGGACGTTTCTGAAAGAGGAAAGGGGTGTGATGGGAGCTGTGCTTCCAGAGGGTTTAGTGGAGACAGGAGACAGGACATCAGGTGTGAAAATAACCTTGAAGGTGGACATCCATGCTGCAACTTGGCAGGAATTGGGCTGAGCTGATGTGGGCTAAGGGCTGATGGAGGCAGGCAGGATGATGCTGGTTGCTTTGGAAGGACCAACAGAACTTGGTGGCCAAGAGCAAGTGAAAACAGGCCAGTGGATAAGGCCCAGGCAGACAGTCTGAGTGCAGTAGTGAGGGAGTTCGTTGTTGTTCAGTGCTAAGTCATGTCTGTTTCTTTGAGACCCCACGGACTGTAGCCCATTAGGCTCCTCTGTCCATGGGATTCTCCAGGCAAAGTGGGTTTCTATTTCCTCCTCCAGGGTGATCTTCCTGACCCAAGGATCAAACCTGTGTCTCCTGCATTGCAGGCGGATTCTTTACTGCTGAGCCACCTGCAAAGCTCAATGGGGGAGACAGAAGAGCAATAAAAAGAAGGTAAGAGGATCCGGGTATCTGGAGAGAGAAGCTGGGGAAGGAGGGGCTCAAGGCTGGAGTGATGGGGGCGACGAGCCATCTGATTAAAGGCAATGCCCATTAGCCGATGCGTCCGGAGGGGTGGGTCGTCCAGGTGGAAAGACAGGAACAAGGACAGAGGTCCTGCATGTCCTACAGCAGAGCCTTCAGAGTGGAGAGCAGGGGTTCTCCAGCCCTTCCTTGCAGAAGCAGCCCAAAGTGCAACCCCAACCCCGACTTCAGATTCCTGCTGTGATGAATGCTGTCTTCCCAGTCAATAGAGAAAGGAAGGCTCATGATGGTCTTTGTGTCTAACAGGGAACAATAAATAACTGTAATTTCCGAGAGCTTGTTTCTCTTAAGGGAACAGGCACCAGCACTGCTAAGCCTGTATCACTGGTTTGTTTTGAGTTCTGCTGGGAAATGGTGCAGAGACGACCTACTGGGTTTATTTTTAGTTCTTGTGGGAATGAATGACCATCCCCTGTGGTTTAATGATTGTTTGAGTATCCTTCTTGGTAGCAACCTGCAAAATCGATCTATGGTTAGCACAGCTTAGCTGTTTAAAAGTGATCATTTTAACTTCTATTTCAGGAGATGGGGGAGCAATGGGCTGACACCTGGGAAGGGTCGCTAGTCCAAAGGTCCAGGGTGTGGAAGTCTCAGCCATGCTGAGGAGTCAGCTGGTTGTGGACCCTGGGAGGGGAAGGCATCCTGTCTGCAGTTCCATTTGTCCTTCTGTGAAATGCGACACTGCCTTTCCTGTGATCCCCTCACAAAGAAAACACAATGACCCTAAAAGACGGGCCTTTCTGTCCAGACCCTAAAAAGAAAGGCATGGGACTACATGAACTGACCTAGAAAGATGTCCAGGAAAAGTTCAGTTCAGTAGCCCAGTCATGTCTGACTCTTTGCAACCCCATGGACCACAGCACACCAGGCCCCCCTGTCCATCACCAGCTCCTGGAGTCCACCCAAACCCATGTCCATTGAGTTGGTGATGCCATCCTACCCTCTCATCCTCTGTCGTCCCCTTCTCCTCCTGCCTTCAATCTTTCCCAGCATCGGGGTCTTTTCCAATGAATCAGCTCTTCGCATCAGGTGGCCAAAGTATTGGAGTTTCAGCTTCAACATCAGTCCCTCCAATGAACACCCAGGACTGATCTCGCTTAGGATGTACTGGTTGGATCTCCTTGCAGTCCAAGGGACTCTCAAGAGTCTTCTCCAACACTACAGTTCAAAAGCATCTATTCTTCAAAAGCTCAGCTTTCTTTATAGTCTAACTCTCACATCCATACACGACTACTGGAAAAACCATAGCCTTGACAAGATGGACCTTTGTTGGCAAAGTAATGTCTCTGCTTTTTAATATTCTGTCTAGGTTGGTCATAACTTTCCTTTAATAACTAGGGGTAAAAGATATATATATATGGTGGTGGTTTAGTTGCTAAGTCATGTCCAGTTCTTGATACCCCATGGACTGTAGCCCACCAGGCTTGACTGCCCATGGGATTTCCCAGGCAAGAATACTGTAGTGGGTTGCCATTTCCTTCTCCAAGGGATCTTCTCAACCCAGGGGTGAAACCCAGGTCTCTTGCACTGCAGGTGGACTCTTTACCGACTGAGCCACCAGGGAAGGATACAGTGTATAATACGCATAAATATCGTGTATTATATATATGTATATATACACACATATGTTATGATCCACTTTTATAAAGTAATGGTAATTATTATGTAGATATGCACATAGTCATTAGAACTCAAGGAAATCCACAAAAAATAACAACATTGTTTTCGGGGTATATGATTACAGGAGACATTTGCTTTTGCTTCTTATAATTTTTTACCATTTGTATTTTTACAAGCTTGCATTTCTTTCAGAATCAGAAAAAAATGTATGATGCAAGTATAAATAGATCAATGAAGAAGCTTCTCCGCCTGTGGAAGCCCATTTTGGTCCAGCGATCAATGGATACTCTTAACCACAGGCTTCATCATCTCTGGAAAAACTCTGAGGCAGCCAGGGTTGCAAGACCTCAAATGGCCTTTCCCCCGAACAATTTACTTCTAAAGTTCTTACTTCTTATCCTAGGGCTCAATGCCAACTGGCTGTCAAAGTCACGCTGATGTCAGCTCACGCCAGATGCCTGTGAACAAATGGAGTTTGTCAAAATTTTAAAGCCCATGATTTTCTCTGATGGAAGTAATGCCTCCTCCCCAGGACCAAGTAAGTATTTAGAGAAACAAATTTTCTTGCTTAAATATGGCTGGAGAGCAAGGTGGTTTTTTTTTTTAATGCCAGGAGATTTAAAAATGAATATTTGGCAAAATTTGTGTTTCTCCAAACAGGAGTTAAGAATCAGGGCAGTGACAGGCATGTGTTCGGATCCCCAGGACCCTGTTCTGAAGGGCAGTGCGGGTCTTGTTTGAGCCAACTCAAGGTCTGTGTTGTGTGTTGTGTGGGTCTATTGTGACTTGGGGTACAATTATGATGAGCAGGGTGAAATTAGAACAGTTTTGCTTGTCAATTACTTCTGACCAAAGTGAATTCTGATATGTGGTTACTGGGCTGTAACTTTTAAGATACTTGGCAGGATGATAAAAACACACATTCATAATACTCCCTGGGTGATGGAGGATGTGCTGTGAAAGAGAGACAGGAAACTCCCTCTTGAAACTCCATGCCCAGTTTACTATGTTAAAGTACTAATTGAATCTCTCTCTTCACCTTGGTTCCTGGTACTCAAACTTCCTGCCTCTTTTATGCCTCTGCTCACTTTGACTCACAGAGAAATGCTGTAAAAAATTTTATGATGTTCGTGTCATTCTTAGACTCTGAAAGTTTGATGCTGACTTGACAGTTGAATGACATCTTCTTGAAAGTCTCAAGGACCTATAAAGCACTAGTAAAAGCTGGTGATCACCACAAGAATGAGAGAGAGAGAAGTTCCACTTTATACTAGGCTAAATCAAATCCCTTACGTTTATACAGTGGAAGTGAAAAATAGATTCAAGGGGTTAGATCTGATAGACCAAGTGCCTGAAGAACTATGGATGGAAGTTTGTGACACTGTACAGGAGGCAGGGATCAACACCATCCCCAAGAAAAAGAAATGCAAAAGGAAAAATGATTGTCTGAGGAGGCCTTACAGATAGCCGTGAAAAGAAGAGAAGCAAAGTCAAAGGAGAAAATGAAAGATTTACCCATTTGAATGCTGAGTTCCAAAGAATAGCAAGGAGAGATAAGAAAGCCTTCCTCACTGATCAGTGCAAAGAAATAGAGGAAAACAATAGAATGGGAAAGAGTAGAGATCTCTTCAAGAAAATTAGAGATACCAAGGGAATATTTCATGCAAAGATGGGCACAGTAAAGGACAGAAATGGCATGGACCTAACAGAAGCAGAAGATATTAAGAGAAGGCAAGAATACACAGAAGAACTTTACAAAAAAGATCTTCACGACCCAGATAACCACAATGGTGTGATCACTCACCTAGAGCAGACATCCTAGAATGTGAAGTCAAGTGGGCCTTAGGAAGCATCACTATGAACAAAGCTAGTGGAGGTGATGGAATTCCACTTGAGCTATTTCAAATCCTAAAAGATGATGCTGTGAAAGTGCTGCACTGAGTATGCCAGCAAATTTGAAGAACTCAGCAGTGGCCACAGGACTGGAAAAGGTCAGTTGTCATTCCAATCCCAAAGAAAGGCAATGCCAAAGAATGCTCAAACTACCACACAATTACACTCATCTCACACACTAGCAAAGTAATGCTCAAAATTCTCCAAGCCAGGCTTCAACAATACATGAACCATGAACTTCCAGATGTTCAATCTGGAGTTAGAAAAAGCAGAGGAACCAGAGATCAAATTGTCAACATTCAGTGGATCATTGAAAAAGCAAGAGAGTTCCAGAAAAACATCTATTTCTGCTTTATTGACTATGCCAAAGCCTTTGACTGTGTGGATCACAACAAACTGTAGAAAATTCTTCAAGAGATGGGAATACCAGACCACCTGACCTCCCTCCTGAGAAATTTGTTTGCAGGTCAAGAAGCAACAGTTAGAACTGGACATGGAACAACAGACTGGTTTCAAATCAGGAAAGGAGTACGTCAAGGCCGTGTATTGTCACCCTGCTTATTTAACTTCTATGCAGAGTACATCATGAGAAACACTGGGCTGGATGAAGTACAAGCTGGAATGAAGGTTGCTGGGAGAAATATCAATAGCCTCAGATATGCAGATGACACCACCCTTATGGCAGAAAGTGAAGAAGAACTAAAGAGCTTCTTGATGAAAGTGAAAGAGAAGAGTGAAAAAGTTGGCTTAAAGCTCAACATTCAGAAAACTAAGATCATAGCATCCAGTCCCATCACTTCATGGAAAATAGATGGAAACAGTGGCAGACTTTATTTTTGGGGGCTCCAAAATCACTGCAGATGGTGACTGCAGCCATGAAATTAAAAGACACTTACTCCTTGGAAGGAAACTTATGACCAACCTAGACAGCATATTAAAAAGCAGAGACATTACATTGCCAACAAATGTCCGTCTAGTCAAGGCTATGGTTTTTCCAATAGTCATGTATGGATGTGAGAATTTGACTGTAAACAAAGTTGAGCACTGAAGAATTGATGCTTTTGAACTGTGGTGTTGGAGAAGACTCTTGAGAGTCCCTTGGACTGCAAGGAGATCCAACCAGTCCATCCTAGAGGAAATCAGTCCTGAATATTCTTTGGAAGGACTGATACTGTTGCTGAAACTTCAATACTTTGGCTACCTGATGTGAAGAACTAACTCATTTGAAAAGACCCTGATGCTGGGAAAGATTGAAGGTGGGAGGAGAAGGGGACGACAGAGGATGAGATGGTTAGATGGCATCACCGACTCAAAGGACATGAATTTGAGTAAGCTCTGGAAGTTGGTGATGGACAGAGGAGCCAGGTGTTCTGCAGTCCATGGGGTTGCAAAGAGTCAGACACGACTGAGCAACTGAACTGAAAGTGTGAAATTATTTACAGAACACATGTTTCTGGTGGCCCAGTGGTAAAGAACCCACCTGCCAACACAGGAGACAGAGGAGACATGGGTTCGATCCCTGGGTCAGGAAGATTCCCCTGGAGAAGGAAATGGCAGCTCACTCTAGTATTCATGCCAGGGACATCCCATGGACAGAGGAGCCAGCAGGCTACAGTCCATAGGGTCACAAAAGAGTCAGACAGGGCTTAGCAACTAAATACCACACATTTAAAAAAGTAGGGGGACATCTCTCTCCATACCCCAATTCCAAACAAAGCACATGGTCAAAGCATCAGACCTTGTAGCACAGAGCCAGCAACAAATCTGCCGTCTTGGTCCAGAAGGCTGCTTGATGCACAGGTGATTTGCAGAGTATCAGATGAGCACGACAAAGGATGTCATTGGGTTCACAAAGACTGAAATTCAAAATGGAGGGACTTGCCACCCGTCTCACAATCAGTTATTATCTGACCAGGAATGGAATACCTTTACTGATCAGTCGGACCTCCTTCCGCTGGGTCACACCACCTGCTTACCAAGGGCGTGACTTGTTACCCCTCTAGGACAACACTGGCATTTCACGAGGCCTCCTGATGTTGACCGTGGGAATTTCAAGCTTCAGAGCAGAATTGCACAGGGAACTATCTGGGCTCGCAGACCTACTAGAGCTCTTCTAAATCCCTGCCCTGCATAATTATTCTGCTTGTATTGCTTCCCTTTGGAACACCATGGCTCACTTTTCAGCAAGGCTGGACTTGACTGAGACACATGCAGATGGGCCTCCAGAGACAGAGAATACACACTCAGTTCTCCTTGATTAATTGGTGAGAAGGTGCAGTGCTGTGTACGTAGCCTTTATCCTGTCTCAAGGATACTTTTCCACATCATCAGCAATACTTGTTCTAGACGGTGATGTATCAGAGTTGACCCCTATTTAATCACGAGAGCCCAACAGTGTATCTCCCTCCAACTCCGGTTCAGTGACTTCAAAGGGTACCTTTTTTAAATTCAATTTTTATTAACTTTGTTTTAAATTTTTCAAGATCTAGTTTAAAGACTCATAAAGCTGTCCAAGGCTATTGGAAGAATATCTGTCCCCAGTTTCTTCTGCCTATTTCTTGGATTCTGGACACAACTGTTTTAAACAACATGTTATGAAAAGCACCTTGGTATTTTTGAACAAAGACTTATGGTACTTCTCATCATCCTTTCCGTTTTAACCTGCATCTATTCACTTCTCACTATAGTAGAGGAACATTTACCTCTCTTTTGTTACCCCTCCTATCGTAAGCATGCATAGAAGCATCACCACCCATTCACCCAACATAGTTAAATAGTTACTTGGGGTAGTTGAACACTCACCTTTTGTACTCACTATGATCAAGTAATTCAATGGGCATCTTGGAATCACAGGTGGAAATAATACTTATATCATGCCAACAAAAGAGTGAAAAATAGTGATTTTTTTTTTTCCCTTGAAGAACCTATTTACTAGCACATGATTGGTCCCAAGGATGCATTTTTTCCCCCTTGAGCAAGAAACTTTATTCATTTGGTAAACCATTACCAACTTGGGCTTGATTTCTGGTAAGGACACAATCAAAGTCCCTAAAGGAATGAATAGGTCCTTTCTGGATATATTCAGCACTCCATGCTGGTTTCCAAGACTCAGTTGGTCATGAACCTATGCTAATTGTGTATCTTCCACCTCTTTTCATCTTGTACTCATATTGGTCTCTCCACAGCCAGTTCAGGATGTGGGTGCTTTCCTGTAGATTTCTTTCCAGTGTCCCTTTTTCAGGCAAGACAAAAAAAAAATCGAACATTCCCTCTACTAAAATAAGGAAGCATGATTTAATTGTCACAAAACATAATTTTGACTTTGACTGAATAATACAAAAGAAAACATTTTTATGTATTACAGGTTATTTTTATTTTTAAATAAAAGCAGAAGCAAATCCCAAGTGGAAAGCTAAGCTATCTGGCACAGTCTCATTAGCATGCTGCCTCTCTGATTACAAGCTCCAGAAATTATAAAGGAATCGCTTTTTAAATTGATGTTCAAATTCAATATGACTGTGCTTTGCATCTTGTTCCAGTAAAGTCTCTTGTTGGTTTGCTTGTCTAGAGCTAAGCAGCAATTTTTGCTTTGGAAAATCCTGTGAATATTTATATTGTTGGCTCTCTAAGCTGCAGGGAATTTAA